TATATGTCACGTCCCAAAACTTCATATGGTAGAATTGGGTCTAGTTCCGGATGAAGCTCAGACGAAGCCCAGTTCACCTTTTCTTTCGTCAACTTTTGTTCGGGTGCAAACATCAGCTGATGAACTGCATACTTGAAGCTAAGTAAGGTCCTAGAATGTTGTCAATAGCTTTAAAATAGCATTATAAGGCCAAAGTTACGGAATCGGTTAAAAGAATATTGACATATTTGCAAATAAAAGGCTCATACTTTAAGATGTTTATTGAATACGGGATTCCTGCGCTGGACAAAAAAAGGACTTGAATTAGACGACAATCCAGGACAGTCTTTATAGATAAGTCAAAACAAAGATCATACAAAGCTTTTCCTGTAATTAAAAAAATCGAAGAGCGAAGTTAGGACATAAGAATTAAAAGTAACAACGGAATTCCATAGAAAAGGATTGTCTATATCAAGCAAGTTTCCAAATGAATAGGTCGTTCCCTTAAATAAAAATACACCAACTTTCTGACAAGTTAGGAACGCAAGGTAGGCAAGACGGGACATTACCAGGAAAGTGAAAGTGCCAGACGAAGAAAACGTCGAAGACCCTGTGGGCCGTAAATTTCCACATCAACAGAACCATGATTGTATGTATCTGCGGTTTCGCCCTTTGCGGCTCGGGCACCCATTGTTGCCAAAAATCCAGGAAGGCCAAAAACATGATCCCCATGTAAATGCGATATGAATATACGAGTCACGCGGCTCACTTTGGCTTCCGGAAACTTTTGGACCTGAATCTGGGTGCCCTCTCCACAGTCAAATAACCACTGTACACCGCTGGCTGTATTACGAAGAATAAGCCCGGATGCACCGCGATGAGGCGATGGATAGGCCGACCCCGTACCCAAGAAGAGGATGTCCTATAATCGTTAAGAATAAGTTATGCGTTAATTGATAGAAAATCGTTAAGTCAAAAGAATAACTTTTAAAAACTGCTAGGGAAGTCGACTACAGAAAGAAGACTGAAAGCCGGCTTGAACATGATGATTTTTTTCTTGAAACACCCTCCAGAGGAAGTTAGTTTTATATAGGTGGGGATAACCGATACTGGAACTGAATACGTGCTATCCTCACAAACACCATGAAAAATGGTCAAGGAGCAAACGACCTTAATGGGTGCAAGCCGTCTCGAAAGATTAACAGCCTCTGAGTATTGTTAATATGACAGGCTTATTAGCGAGCTACCCACGCACGCAACCAATAACGAGAAATTGACTTCAATGAAAAAAAAACGGCATCGGTATCTGAGACAGCTAACTAGAATGCACACATTTGTGATGGACTATAATTCCGTCAACATAAACGGAAATTTTAAACCACTGTGGTCGCTGAACGTATAAGAAGAGGGGGTGAGCCAGCTGTAAGCTAATGCATAGCGTTTTGAGACGAATAATAAATCCTGCCCGTGCCGCAAGTGATTTACGGCAGGGGAAGCGTAAAAAAGAGGACGTAGACCCAAGGATACTATATTTTACAATCGGTAAAGGGTCAAGGATATACAATAGGAAAAATATAGAAAACAGGAGGAAGATTTCAAGTCCGCTTCTTTTCGTGGAGGAGGACGCCATCCTTTTGAAGAGCCTCGCGGATACGGTCTAATGTATCCTGCTTGTCCCAAGAGTCCTCCAACTTCAGCTCTATGCCCTTGGAGATAACCCTTTGGGAGGAATTTTAGTTGAATTTATGAACTTACTTTGACATGACTGAGCCTTCATCTTTAACATTAAACAAATTATGTAGATCATTATCCTCAAATTTATTTGAAAATGAACTAAAAGTGACATAAAAAAACCAACAAACACTCTTCCAAAATCCTCAGGGTATATTATATTACGAACGTGCTGATCTGGTAGTGGTCTTTCGTAATTCGGTTCAATGCTAGGTGGGAAAGCTCGGTATACATCAAACCAGACAGGGCGATCAGAATTTTTGATCGCTTTATTCTTCAGTAGACCATCAACTCTGTATATAACAAATTATAAGGTTTTTTTTGGAAAAAACCTGCGAAAAATGCTGGAAACTTTATGAGCACGACTACCATACGACATTTTGGGGTGTAGTAGTCCGAACTACCTGTGGCCTTGACAAATCCGGCGCGTGAATTGATAACAAAGG